CTTCGCTGGTTTATTCGCGCCGTCACAGAGAACACCATTTTAACTCGGTGGGCAGTACGTAAGCTTTTGTACTGACTAACCTCACAGAAGATTGTATATTTATGCTTAGGCTGTAAGGTTTCTTCCGGTTGGTTACCGCCTAAATGTGGGAATGTGTGTGCACGCTCATTTTCTCATCTCCGATTCAGTTAAATCAATCAAATGATGCACTGTATAGCTCTACATTACTTTGTAAGCCTTCGCTGAGGCGTATAATTGCCGACCAGGCACCAACACAAACAATGCTATTATAATTATGTTTGCCTCTCCCTTCATTAATTCACACGACCCTTACGCCTTGTCAATACCTCATAAATAATAGACTATCGCGTTCGATCGCGTGGAAAGAGGGGAAAAGTCACTACTTGCTTTTCAGTGGGAGAAAGAAAGAAAAATTAAGAGGGGAAGATAAAATCAGAGAGAGAATGAACCAGATTAAGCTAATAAGAACAGGTACTACACTTTGGTCTGAGTCAAAAGGCCGAGGGTGTTTTTTAAGCGCGCCCATGTCGTTATTGAACGTGACACAATGTCGAGGTTTAAAGTGCGTTTAACGTGGAAAAAAATGTCCAAACCCTCTCAGCGCCCCCTTTTGAGGACGCCTCAGGTATCGGGTAATAAAACCAGCCACCTCCGGAAAGAGAGGTACCTCCTGGAGAATATGCCCCCTGGGGCTTGGGCTTGAAATTATTTGAACCTCCCGAGTCACAACCCGCTAAAAGGAATAAATTCCTCCCGTGTCTGTGACGGCACATCAAATAGACAATCGTCGACGACGTTCCTTGAATTAATTCTTGTATTGATTTCTCTCTTTTTTTAACACACACGTGGAAAGAACGGTTCCTTTTTATTGCATTATTCTATCCACAAAGAATGGCTGAGGCATTTAAATAAGTTCAACATTTAAATACGTACACAATGTATGGTACACGTGAAAGGAAAAATTGCATAATAGGACGGTGAGAGTGTGTATAGATTCTTATTGTCGTCTCTTCGATACTTTCTACGTTATTTCACTGGAACATCCTACCGTATGCAAAGAGCACTACAAAGATGAAAAGAGGTTTAATGTTTGTTGATTTCCCAATCATTTGTCAACTCTCGTGTTATTCACGTGTGAGTTCCCAGCGCAGGATATAAAATAGAGAGAATGTTCGTGTTCATAAAAAGCAATAAAACCAGATAGACAATAAGGAACGGGGAAACGATGAGAAGACAGGAAAGACGTATACAAAAGTCTTTAGAAACAGGGATTTTATTTTATTTTTGTGTGGTTAGTTTTCTTCCTGTCATTATTTGAACAATGGTGGCCATATATTGATACATACCGTTGTAGCTGTTTTTAGTTTTCTTCTACTGATAAATTTCAATCATGACGAAAGCTTGAATCGTTGAGTGTTTGATTCTCTTTGCCCCATGAGAAACCCCTTACGTTCTGAAAGTAATGAATCCTATTTATTTCCACGGGATCTAAAACAGATACAGGAAGTATAATATTACAGTGTTTTGCAGTTGAAAACTTTACTACATTCCCTACAACGGTGTCAGACAAATCTTGCCCGTGGCTCGTTATATGCGCTACTGTTGCAATGCCTTACCTGTTTCCAAACTGTGCTTGCACTCACTCACAGTAAACACTCAGCACAATTCTTTTCGACGAAATAATCCAACGCTACATATCTGCTTCTCGTCCTGGGTAAGACGATAAACTACATCCGCGTCCAGGGTAAGACTATGAAGTACGTCCAACAGCAGGGCTTCTAATCAGGAGGATTTGAGGAGCGTGGAACCATCTCTTAATTGCTGGTGTTCCAAGGTCCACCCTGACCCGGGGTGGTAGCACCTGTTAGGGTTCCAGCTATGGGCAAATATTTAACCCCTAAACTGGGGTCAAAACACTATGAAAGTGTAAAAATAATTTTTCTTCAAAAAATGTATTGCTAGTAATATTATTTTTACAAAGTATTACTGGTATTAAAATCTATTACCAGCAATAAAAATTGTCTGCATTAAATAACTCACTGAGGTTGATATGCCGTAAAACAAACCAAACCAATCCAAATCATACTGCCGAACTGCTCGCATTCACTCACAGTAAACACTCTGCACAAATCTTTTCGGGGAAATAATTCAATGTTGCATCTACTTCATACGTATTTTCTTGTCATATGCCATTTTATTAGACTGTTAACAAGTGAGTCACCACTTTTCGGATATTTAAATTACAAGGCAGATATTATTTTTGGAGCGACGAATTTCTTTCCAAAGTATTAGGAAACAATGAAGAGAAAGTTGAACTACTGCATAATAGTGACGAATTTCGATCTAAGCCATTATTTGCAATGGCTTTTTGCCACTCAAAAGGTGTTGAAAAACAGCTTGATGAGCAAAATTGTGAAGATTTTGAACGAAATCTTTTTCTCAAGCTAATAATCAGTTTACTGCAAAGTCAGAAAAAAACTACATTTGTCTGTTCTACCCCACCGCCGTATTTACCTGTGTTATCTTTGCTGTATAGAGTCTTGTGTTTTCATGGAGGAGAACAAAATTTTTAACCCGCTGTGTATGCTGCCACTACAGTACAAAACTAAGGAATTTTAGTGTACTCCAAATTTATTCTTAACTGACATGTATAATTAATAGTTAGGATAATACAGTCGTCATAAGTATGATTAGTAGCTAGAATGATACATTCGACATTAGTATGATTAGTTGCTAGGATGATACATTCGTTCTTAGTATTAGTAGTCATGAAGTTACATTCGTTATTACATTCGCTTCCTTAAACTGGAAATTACTCATGACTCAGCATGATTTCATTAATCAATGATTGCTTCAGACATAAACACCAGCTCATATCTTTCTAAAGGAAAGGTTAATCATGTAAATACCTTTTGTTTTGAACATTGTTACATATTAGTGTACTCCCAATTTATTCTTAACTTCCACACATAATTATTTGCTAGGATCATATATTTGTCATTAGTATGATTAGTATTTAAGAGGATACATTCATCATTAGTATGATTAGTAGTTAGGAGGCTAGATGTGTCATTAGTATTAGTAGTAGTTATGATATATTTGTCATTAGTATAATTAATAGCAGGATACACATGTAATTAATATGGTTAGTAGTTAGGATGACACATTTGTCCTTAGTATAATTAGTATTCAAGAGGATATATTCGTCATAAGTATTATTAGTTGCTAGGGTGGTACATTTATTACATTCGGTTCCCCAAACTGGAAATTACTTATGACTCTGCTTTTATTTATCAGTGAATGCTTAAGACATAAACACCAGCTCATATCTTTCTAAAGGAAAAGTTAATCCTGTAAATGCCTTTTTGTTTTGAACATTGTTACATATTAGTGTGCTTCCTGTTAACTTTCACGTATGATTAGTTGCTAGTATGATACATTCGTCATTACAATTGCTTCCCCCCCCAAACGGAAATTACTTATGGTTGTTTTCTAAGCGTAGCTTAGATGTGGCACAAAGCCGAAAGTATGAGGCACCCAGTAAGAAGACACGGTGGAGTAATGGATGGCGGGTTGGATTGAGGAATCGGAGAGCCGAGTTCGAATTCCAGTCGAATCCATTATTTACGTGCTAACACCCTTGGGAAAGGTGTGAATCCTCTTTCTTCTCCCTCCAGCTATGGGTAAATGGATGGCAACTGGTCTAGGAGAAGGAAAACTCTGATTTCAAACCTGCTCTTAGAGAAGGGTGAATGGAGTCTCTCTGAGCCTTGGTTGGCAATCCATTTAGTGTCACGATAAAAACACCCTTGATAGCCCTAGCGAAGCATCAAGAATACAGCTATTTGACAAGATTATGAACTACAGTGAGTTCAATCTCGGCTGAGGCCGCAAGATGATGATAAAGGATCGAACTTATTAGGTTCAGTCGTAAGTAATTTCTACTGGACACTTCGACATGGTATAATGGTTAGCAAGTTCATCAAGCTAGATTAATTACGATTGAATAGTATTTTCTATTTATTTTCGTGAAACAATTGGTAAATCTATTTTGGGATATTTTGAGAGACCCTTTGTGGGAGGCTACACTCAGCCGACCAAAAAAAAGGGATTAAAAAATGTCTGATATACGATCAGATTTTAGGGAGCGAGTCGCGATGAGATTTTTTAGTAACCCTTTGTTGCAGCTGCGTTTTTATCGGCAAACTGAATCCAACACTAACGGCTTACGGCATAGGGAAATAAACTACCAGTATTTATTTTCGTAAGACATGGTTACAAATATATTCTGAATCTTATATGCAAATTTGAAGTGTCTTGTAGGCTTACGTCTAACCAGACGCTGCAGACGACTTGTATCTTGCCTAACACCATAATACTGAATATAAATGAAATGTAAACATATGCCATCAGACAGACTTCAAATCAAATCATAGTGCGAAATATTGTCCAATCTTTCAAGCGTTATGTTAATCTAAATAGTGATGACCAAAAACACTGTATCCTGATAAACGACATAGAGGTTGATATGCCGCTAAACAAAATCAATCAATCAATCAATCAATCAATCAATCAACTTGATATACGAGATTCCTGTATAAATAACAAATTGATTGGCCATTTCTATTCTTTATTCTTTTATTTTCTTCATTTTGCAACTTCTGAGGCCATCTGTGCAACGAAGGTTTCTTCTCTGTCGAACACATATCTGTCTCCGCTAAAGACTTGAAAACTGTTTCCACTGATTAACCGCAAATAAAAACAAAATATTTCTGTTTTCTCTATACTTTATTTAACTATGGTAACATAAACAGGAAAGTTTAAGAAATAACTCGATTTCCTGTCTGTTCTAAAAGCTGGATAAGGTCATTAGAAACAAAGAAATGAGTGCTGAAGGCAAGTTGAGCATTTGATAAAATATACCAGTTGACGTATATTAAGAATTCCGAGAATAATGACAGGCTTTCAACTTCGGTGGCCTGTGGCCGTATCACGTTGAAACACCGATTCCCGTACGATTACCAGTTAAGCATCGTCAAACCTGGTCAGTTACTTAGATGGGTGACCGCTTGGGAATAGTGGATGCTGTAAGCCTGGATGTGCGGGTGGTATAATGGACAGCGGCTCAGAAATCGGAGATCTATATATACTCGCGTATCATGCAACGTTTGAAGACATAATTTTTAAAGCTAATTTGACTACAGTAAATGGATATATAGTTTGGTCAACGGCATAGCCAGGGCCAAGATTACATACACTAATTTTATATCTCGTATATCATGCTGTAGAAAAATCACGTGGTAGAGATAAACACTCAGTTGTGGAGCAAGCTAACTGAATAATAATCCAACCTTTAGAAAGAGAGCTATTTATGTTGCCATGGAGCATCTCATTGTGCTAAAGTGGGATAGTCCATTGCTTGGGCTGTGATTGGCTGCTGGTACCTGAGTGGAGGTATTTCTATATAAATACTAGCTTGATTCATCAGTTAGTTTGCAGCGTTTGTATTAAGTTACAACCTGCTTTATTTTTGTCTGCCAGCTGGACGCTAGCTGGGACCATTACACCGGTAAGTGCTGTTTATTATTGTTATTCTACACATGCGACCCCCTTAAAATTAGCTTCCAAATTAGGTCTTCAAAAGTCGCACGATACGCGAGTATATACAGTAAATAAAAGAACAGAAAATTAAATTCTTTTGAAACATTAGGGAAAATATCCCAACTTCTACTTTAAGATTTCTATAATAATGACATCGCTTTTTTTAATTTTTTTTTTTTAGCAACCATAAGCCTCGAAAGTGAACAAGAAATAATAATGACGAATTTCGATCTAAGTCAATAATACGCCATGCACTTGATAATTCGTTGCGTTTCAATCGTTACAAAATATACGAAGGCGGAAAAGTTATCGGTCTGATCCACTTTCTCAAATCTAAGCGAATAAACAAATATCAATATATTTATTTATATTATTTACACTACTGTTCGCGCGTTTGTTGTCATCTTCATCACAATGTTTTGATCGCTGTATCCTCCGGCCTTCATCAGGTGGTAGGTGATCCGGGTTACCTTCATGGATATTAATCTGGACCCTTTATTTAATTTATGCCGATAAACCCTTATTCCGCTGACCATGGCTAGGGACATCTCGACTAGTTCATATTTAGTACTATTCAATTATTACTCGTATTATTCATAAATCTGCTCTGACCAGCCCAGGGATGAACCAATGTTTTAATCCACTTTAATCCAGCAAATTCATTTTTAATCTTTTCTTGTTGGACCGAGATCTTTCGCAAACCCATTTGGATACTCGGGTAGCTAGTATATAGTTACTTTTAAAAGTGAATTTTAGTACTATCAGTAAATGAGCTTAATTTTGGTACAATTTACCATATGTTTAATTACTGAATACTACGCTGAGTACGTGGCCGAGTAATTAGACTATTCATATTCTGACCATGAGACCCGGGTTCGAATCTCATCATTTCAGGAAGGAGACTTATCTGACTGAAAACCATACCACGGTTTGACCCAAGCCTTGAGTGAAATCGGGTAGATGGAACGAATTGGGTAGCACGAAGTCACAAGTCGTCGTGGCCGAGATCTTGAGCGTGCTGGCCTTCTTCAAATTGTTGATCACGCTAGATAACAAGGTCTTTCGCAGAAACTGTAACTACTCAGTATATATATACCACAAGTGTGATCTGTGAGTGTTGAACAAGCACAAAAATGCGCCTGAGCAAGCGTCTGCAATAGGATCGACTAGCCGCTATAGTAGACGGGTATCCTTGAATACGAGTGGCCAGATATACATGATAAAGATTAGAGGTTGTGGTTAACGAACTGAGCTAGTGGGTTATTAACTAGGAGGGAGGTACTGAAAAGTTATCCGCTTGCCTCAATTGCCAAAATCTGACCAAATATTAAAATAAGTATTGTTAGCATCTTTTTCATTGCCCTGTCGGCTGTTTCCAGAATACGTCTACTGTATTTCCCTGCAGTGGTGTAAGACAACCCCCCCCCCCGATACCGAAAAAAAAAAGTGGCGTGCTAACTTCCAGATTCCAGACGGTATATAACCACCAGTCAAGTTGCATCTGACCCAGAGTGGTAGCACCTGTTAGGGTCCCAGCTATGGGCAAAGAGTTAACCCCCAAACTGGTGTCAAAACATTATGAAAGTGTAAAAATAGGTTTTAATACCAGCAATACATTTTTGTAAATATGTTACCTGCAATACATTTTTGAAGAAAAAAATGTTGCCGGCAATACATATTTGAAAAAAAATATTACAAGCAAAACATTTTTGGAAAAAAATATTACCAGTAATAAAAAAATCTTGTCAGCATTTAAATAAACCATTGAGGTTGATATGCCACAAAACAAACCAAACTTAACTTTACTAGCCGTGTCTTATAAGCCTCACGCTAAGAATATTCCACAAATTAACCTTTTATTGTTCATTGTTTCACTAGTGGAACATATTTGAGTCTTTTCCGCGTATATCATTAATAAAAATTCTCATAATTAATTCTTTTCTGGTATCAAAAAACATGTTTCCTTCCACATCATGTTAAAATAACTGAGTTCCATGCTTAAAATATGCTTAAATTTTTAGTGGCCAGACATTTATATTTTATGTAAATTGTGTTAAAAATCTACCGTTCCTAACAATTTAGGGCTTTTGAACAGGAGTGGAGGTTTGTCAGTATGTATTGAAACAAAGGATAAACTGCAGCAATTTTAATTCAGTCTGCCGAAAATACTGCCAAACAACACATTTAAAAAAAACTGTAGTATGTAAAGTGAAACAATATTTTGAAAAAGGTTTTAAGAAAAATTAGTGGTTTAATATATATATATATATATATAAGGAATTCTTAAAATCCATTATGTGGTAATAATTTATTTCATGGGATATATATATATATATATATATATATATATATATATATATATATATATAAAAACAAACCATAACTAACAGCAGTCTTACTATTAAAAAAAGAAATTTTGACTGTTTCAATACAAGGCTTTATTTAGAAAAAACATTAAATTTCGGCTTTAAATGACCCAATGGAATGAAAACAGACTAAACCAAAATTATCCCTTGTTTCCTCTTTAGGATTGGGTTTCCGGTTCCTTCTAAAGTCTCCTTATTCTCTTTCACTACCTTGCGTCACAATGGCATTATCACCTTGTGTGGGGTGAATTGATTAAAAAATTATAAGCCTACAATAAGGCTGAAAATTAAAACTTTGATAATTTTAGCCAAGTTTAGTCATCTTTTAGCAGACGTTCAAAAAACGCGAGTACATGAAATCAAGAATTTGAAATTATTTTTAGAAAGTTATGTGTTAAAAGTTTACAATATCAATTTTTTCCTACTTTTTTCTTGCGTAGAAGTCTTTAATTTAGATTCTTAATTCTGTCTGTTGAAGTAGGGTAAAAAACGGTGCACGGGTAAAAATGGCACAAGTAAGAAAAGAGGAAAATGGCACAAAGCGAAAAAAAGAAAATATAAGTTGATTTACAACAAAGACTGAAAAATTTATGCATTGACTACACAGAAGAAAAGATTTGGATCAGGTGTTAAGTGGACTTGGTCACAACATAAAATTTTAGTTTTAATTTTTTGCTTTTAAATGTTGATATAATTTTATTTTTAATTTACTAAATAGATAACGTGTGCATTTAATTTTTTCCTGTATGTTTTTGTCCTGGGTATGACGTTAAACTGCATCCAACAGCAAGGCCTCTGATCAGGAGGTTTTGAGGAGCGTGGAACCACCTCTTAATTGCTGGTGTTCCCAGGTCCACCCTGACCCAGGGTGGTAGCACCTGTTAGGGGTCCCAGCTATGGGCAAATAGTGAACTCCTAGTTTTTCCAGATCTTACCCACGTCCTGGGTATGACAATAAACTACATCCGGGTCCTGGGTATGACGATAAACTACGTCCAACAGCAAGGCCTCAGATAATGTTTTCAGAAAAATAATGTTGCCAGCTATGCGTTTTTGAAACAATAATGTTGCCAGCTATACGTTTAATAGTACTATATATATATTAATATATATATCTATATATATATATATATATATATATATATATATATATATATATATATATATATATATATATATATATATATATATATATATATATATATATATATATATATATATATATATATATATATATATATATATATATATATATATATATATATATATATATATATATATATATATATATATATATATATATATATATATATATATATATATATATTTATATATATATATAAATGACCTACAGTGGTTGATATGCCATAAAACCAAACAACCTGTATTATTTATTACCTAAATTCACAAAAAAAAAACAAGTCGAAAAGCAATCACTCAATACAACTAGCAAATACATTTAGTAGCAAGAAAATGTGTGCCTACTAAAAATGTAATCCATTGTGCCGGTTTTCATTTTTCTACAACACACTACCCTATAATTTGATTCATTGTCCCTTTAGAAAGAAGGGGGAGATAATCAATGAACGCATTGTGCCTTTGTAATAATTTGAGAAAGAAGATAACACCCTGATTGAATTAGATTTTTGTGTCCGCCACAATAATATCATTAACATTTCAACTTTCAGAAAAGTATAGATTTACACTATTTATAGACAATTTGAAGGTGTTAGCTTCGAATTGAAATCCGGCTTATTTTACTGAAACAGAGGACAAATAGTTTTTCTTTGTCTGGCAAACAGACGATAAAGCATTAAATGAGACGTAGTTACTTAGATGGAGGCAAGATTAAGTTGCATATTTTCTAACAGTCTTAAATCAAATTAATATACGTGTGTATTATCAGATTTTAATAAAAATCCCATGAGATGTTCAGTTTGATCTGAGAACGAGAGTTAAAACAACAAATTATATATATACTCTAAAAGATTGTTTATTTAAACCGAAAACTGAAAAATGTCCTTTTTTTTCTTTCTTTTTCTTTTTTTAAATATAGGTCTTTATTTTAACCCCCGCGAGGCAGATACGCACTGCAATTCGCATTGAAGTGTTACCAATATCTAATG